TTGGCAAGGTTGGTTCTCTCCAAAAACCTGTTTCAGGCCTTCCTCTTAGCGTTCAGTGACAGCTAGCAGACCTCAGCATTCCCTGGCTCCTCATCACTCCAATCATTGCTTCTATCTGTACATGCCATTCTTTTTTTTTTTTTTTTTTTTTTTTGCTTCTTCAATCAAAATAGCACAAGGCATGATTTGTTGTGCACTTGTTACATTTGGCCACAACTGAGAACACAATGTTAGGTCCAGGGCAAAGTATTGATAGGCTCTGTTTCAGTGTCAGCAAGGTGCGTCTCTCAGGGGCAGTCTTGGTGATTGGATGGTGATGAGGTCTTAGCTCCACTGAGGCAAGTTCCAGATAGGAGCACACAGTCCAACAGCTTGTACCAGTGTCTTCGGCCTCTGGCATCCCATGTTTCTGCTCTGTGGCCTTCACGTGTGCACAGCAGGCAGTTCCCTTGGACCCCGCCCGGTCTCATCTTTTTCCTTCTGCACTTCAGCATTCACTTCTTTTTCCACTCGGATCTCACAGTGCATAGGTTTCTAGAAAGATGGTGCTAAGGCCGAGAGCACCAGTCATACTGGATAAGGGACTGCACCCTACTTTAGTAGGACATTCCCTTAAATGAACTAATTACATCTGCTATGTCCCTATTTCCTCTGTTTCCCCATGTCCTAGCATGCTTGGACACCTAGTTGTTGGCAAAGGAATGAATGAAGGGATCATTGGATGTGGAGCTGAGAGAAAAGGAATGAAGACTAGTTTTAGTTCATGCAGAATCACCAGTGACTCACTCAGGTGGGTCACTCAGAGCCAGAAGGCCACATCATAGGTCCCAAAGAGGAACTGTTGGAAGCGGGCTCAAAAACTGAGTCTTGCTGATGTGCTGGGTTTGGATATTTGCACGTGAAGAAAGAACATTCCAAGCAGGATGAGGTAAAGTGGCAGGGACACTGTCTCTGCTAGGGCATAAGGGAGACAGTTTAGATTTGTATGAGATCTATAAATGACACACGACTAATCTGGTTACTAATCTTTCTTTTTTTTTTTTTTCTTTTCTTCCCAGAAAGGGCCTCACTCTGTTGTCCCAGCTAGACCGCAGTAGCCTCATAATAGCTCACAGCTCAAACTCTTGGGTTCAAGTGATCCTGCATCAGCTTCTCAAGTAGCTGAGACTATAGGTGTGTGCCATTCCACCTGGTTAATTTTTCTATTTTTTGCAGAGCTCAGGCTGGTCTCAAAATCCTGGCCTCCAGCAATCTTCCTGCCTTGGCCTCCCAAAGTGCTAGGATTGCAATCACGAGCCACTGTGCCTGGCCACATAGTACTTTTTCTGAAGCATTTTAAAGACCATCCAGAGAATCCTTGATGTTTAGAAGTCTCATAATTTAACAGGGTTCTCTATAGCAAATAGAGTCCATATTTAAATCTGTGGAAACTGTTACTGCCAGCAGCATCAACACAACCATTAGTGGCAGCTGTTCATTTGGCCTGTAGAAACCAACTCTTCCTGGTTAATAGCAACCCCCCTCCCCCCGCCCCCTGCCAAACAACAAACAAAAACCCGACTAATTAAATACATTGGCATTGCATTTTCTATCTAATGTAATTTATTTTTTAAAAGCTGTAATGAGCCTCAATTTTAAGAAAAAAAATAATTTTTATATACTTCTTTTATGTAATCTTTCCCAACTCCCCTTGGCAAAAGGAATCTCCTTGGCACCTCGGTTCACATAGGCTCGTGTGAACAAGAACATAAATTAGATCATAATAATGTGGTTTGTTAACGGCTTCCAAATAATCCTCAAAACTCAGCTTTCTCAATTCAAAATATGGACATTAGAGTGTATGTGTAACTAGGTGGCGAAAAGCTAGAAACACCCAAATATCCCAAAACAGAGAAAAGGTTAAGCAAGATGTATCATCACATGATGTTGTGATATGTGATTATTAAGCATGACTTTTATGAAGAGTTTTAAATAATAAGGGAAAGTCCTTATTAAATTTAAGGCAGAAGAGGGTATGGGATTTCTTTTTAAGGCAACGAAAATGTTCCGAAATTAACTGGTGATAGTTGCACAACTTAACTAAGGCACTAAAAATCATTGAGCTGTACACTTCAAATGGGCAAATTGTATGGTATGTGAATTATATTATCAATAAAGCTGTTTTTGTAAAAAAAAGACATAAAAGAACTGTGTGGTGAAAAAGTATTGTACAGATAGGTCACAGTAGCTAAGCATATGTTATAAAAAGATTGGCAGGGCTATGCTAAAATGTTTAGGTTTTTTTGGGGGGTGAAGGGAGTAGAGATAATTTTTGTTTTTAAAAAATTTCCTATTTTAATATTGCAAATATGATACTTTTATAAGGAGGAAAAAAAGAATAACTCAACAATGTCTCTTCTGTTCTACTGAGAGGATTTTTTCCATGCCCAAGCTTGTCAAAAGGAAACTTCCCAACTTTCATGCTTGAGGTGCAGATAAACCTGAAGGGAGAAAAAATGATTTGTCCAAATATATTGATTTTCTTAGAAAATGCTTATCTAAACGTAGAACCAAAGAGAATGTGTAAATATTGAATAGTGTAAGGATATGCATAAGCACAGTTCTTCCTTCTGGTATTTTAAGCAGAGAGCAATAGTTAGATGAAGTTGGCTTCTTGGAATACGATATGAGGGAAACACAGGAGCCCTTTTATTTTTAAAATGAGGCATCACCAGGCATCATCAGTATGTCAGATATCCTCCCCCATGAAAAAAAAAAAAGGAAGGGAAAAACGTCTAAAAGTCTGTAGCAGTTTTTAGAAGTATTTAAGGAAGAGTATCTTCAGCCCATACATCATTTAAGCGTAAGAAATATTATAATAATCAAAGAATAATAATATAACTAGAAGCTTTAACAGGGTCTTAAAATCTTCCCTTGGTGTTTCTTATGTTTACTGATATCCATGAAATATAACAAGATAAGGCTTTTTCTCTGCCATTCCCATTAATTGTGCAGTAGAATAAAAATGCTGAACAGTATTCTCTAAATCAAATGTGGAATCATCATGTAGATACTTCTAAGTGAATAATGTATTACAGTTCATAAAAAGGGTTATCTACTGAGTGAAGTTTTAAGAGCAATATCCCATAGTATTATTTACATTGTACAAAGAAAATCTGTCTAGGTGAATATTTTTCACAAAGAACACCTGTAAAACAGGCCTAAGTTAGTCTATCTTAGCAAAGAGAGCAAACGTAGGCATGTTAGTAAATAGCCATCAAGAAGTTTCAAAAATTGTGGACTGATACTCCTAAAATAGTATTTGAGTGGATCTTTATGCAAACGTTTCAGTTTTTTTTAACACAAAATTATCTCATTGGGTTTAGCAAATCACAAAATAATAAAAGAAAACCCATATAGATGAAAAATATTTGAGTGTTACAGGTATTTATTTTAAAAGAAACTTACCACAGAAGCAATTTTAACGACTTTATGAAAATATTATTTAGTAACTATAGGGACAGGGAGTCTTACTGATGATTTTCTAAAATGTACAGTGGGAAGGGCATGTCAAACTCCGAAATATCACATTAATTCATAAAACTTTATTAAGGCTTTAGGAAGACAGAAAGCTCTTCAATAGATCTACTTTTGTAAGCTTATAACCACGTGGCAAGGACACAAGATTAAAAAGTAGACAAAACTTTTACATAAAGATAGACTCCAAGTCATCAATAATAAATAGTTTTACTGTAGCAGAATCTTGTGACGTCAATTACTCAGTATAATTATAATGCCAGTTTAAGAAATCTAGTGGGTCTATTCATTTTGGTGTAAAGCTTGATTGGAAAAGTTCAGAAAAACATCCATAATTTGCTACTTTTTCTTTACCCCTAACACTATGCTTTCTCTGCCAGCCCTCACTCCACATCCTCTGACTCAGAGACTATTTGGAGAGACACCTGTTTTAAATGGATCCACAGGAAATACCTATGTTGTCTTTTCATAATCCGACCATGCATCTGGTTGGCTGAAATGTGATCATGATTAAAAAAAAAAACGCTACCCACAGACTGATGCAACTTCAACGTGACAACATTTACTGGAAGGCAGAGGAAATCCAGTTTATGTTTATTTTTCTTGCATTAAGTGCGAGGATTGTAGTGTGGGGGGAAAAAAGTAAAAGGGTAAAAGCAGTCTGCCCTGCCCCCGCACGATTAGTATATTGAAGTCGCACACACGTGGGTTTCACATGAATGTTTTAAAGCTGAACTCAGAAACAATTATCGGACACTTTTTTTTTTATAGCTTTTTATGGATATACCTCTTGTCCAAAGCTCATGTGTTATAAAGATATGTTAATAACCTCTTGTAGAAAAGCGTACTGACTGAAAGCGGAATGCACAGAAGAGTCTGATAACGATGAACGGTCGCCTGTCACTACTAAAACTCCCACGCGGCCCGAATAATGCCGCCACACCCCGTGCTCGCATTTACACCCCACGTTCACACTTCTGCCCGGTCCCTCTCGGGGCACCCGCTCTGGGTTCACCACAACTACCCCAGGACGCTCGGCCACCAGTTTCCAGTTCACCCCGGGGTCACCTCGTCCAGTCCGAGTTTCCCGGCCCCCGCCCCCAGCCGCGCTGCCCCCCGGAGCTCG